CCAAACAATGAAAAGTGGGAATGACTACTAAATATTAGCTACCTCTCCTTCCTTAACTTTCTTTTATTATAGGGTGGATTTGGCGAGATTCCGAGTCAAAGATCCGGTGGAATGGTTGGTTGATGACGTGGTGTCGTGGATGCTCGATGTGGCAAAGCGACATGGAATTCCTTTTGAAGAAATGAATATGCACAGAGTAAGAGATAGCATATCAATAACGAGCGGTTATTTTGTGCCAACTGCATTCACTAAGCCTTTTCCCGTACTCCGTGAGTATTTTGAGATCGTGTTTATATGTCGGATCTTGTAATCAGTAAAAGCTCTTAAAAGCTCTCCGTTTACGGAATGTCAAAAACCTACCAGTTGTTGTCTACTGTCTGAAAAGCTAGGTGATATTAGAGAGCCGTTGTTACTTCCTTGAACTATGTAAGCTGGCTTAATCACTAACGAAATGAAATCAAACTTTCAAATTAGCAGCACAATTTTTCATCTTCATTTACTCTTACACTACTACACTGATATGTCTTGCAGCTCAGATTACTCTTAAAAATACTGAATAATTCAATAATGCCATTTGTTCTAGTTTGCGAATCTCACCGGCCAACAGATGATCGGCATGACCGAGCAGAATTTCATAGAACGAGATCCCATCTGGGGACCTCTCATCTATAATGAGTTCCGCAAAAACCTCGCCGGTTAGCACCATTTTGCACTGTTGTGCAAAATTTTGATTACATATTTACGTCGTTTCTTTCAGAAGATACCTCAGTGATTGATGAGATTATGAAGAAGTATAGTGCAGACGAGGATGCGGTAACGGCAGCCAATGGAACACCGTCAACATCGTTTGAGATCCCAAAAACGCACATCGCCCCCAATCCTTCGCCGATGGTTCCACAATTCCATACACTTACCCAAACTCTCAATCACACACTCAATCAAACGCTGAATCAAAGCATTCAGCTGAATACAAATCTGGCACAGAATTTACAGCAAACGCTAAATCAGTCATTAGCAACAAGCCTTGCTGCTGGATTGTCTACAGGTAGATCACAAATTCTTCTTTGCTTTCTATTTACCTCAGTTGCATCTGTCTCATTCAGGCCTGAGTCCCATAAACCTTGGTTTGGTACACAATGGATTGAGTCCGAGCTCTCCGCTGATCGGAGCCCAGATCCAGCAGAAAATTTCTCCACTCCCAAATGAAATCTCATCCTTCAACGCCAGCACCACCACAGCCTGCTCAGATTTCGAAGGTTTGCAAATCTCTCACCATTTTGCTAGCTTTATGTGGACGATTTTTGCTACACGTTTAAGACGGTGTTTTTTAAAGGTCATCCTTAACGTTGATCCGTGTATCTGTTGTATCAATCGGCTTGCATTGGCGCCTGGGTGATTACATCTGAAGAGAATCCTCAAGATGTTCCCTTAGATAAAGCTGCAGATGCAGTCCATAATGTAAACACCAATAATCTTATCAAAATCCGGAACATTAACCTCTTCTCGACAGAGTTTAAAAATTAAGGTAAAAGAAAGAAAACTGGTATCAGTCACACCTTC